TCGTAGGGACAGAATTGCTGCGTCAAAGGATTGAAGTTTCAGGATCCAATAGTTAATGGTTTAAAGCTATACGTTTTCAAAGCCTCGCTGATCATGTTACTGCATTGCTCCTTTCCAAAAAATGAGTAACTGTCTGCTGAGTTCGTTTTCCTCTGAATGAGGAGCTTCTTTCCGTCCGTTCCCTCTCCCCTCTCTGATACCCACACCACATTGCGCAGAAGCATCCTCTTCCAGAAGGCACCAGGCTTTATGTTGTTACTGCCCGCGGTAGACCTATCTCCTTGACTTTAATTATGACGTGGGACCATGGGACAAGGAAATACTGCCCCACCCTTTCATTTGATCACAATATCTCAAACTACCAATTTATTACCAATGTACGACAAGGTTGTTTTCTGGATTTCAATATATGTAAATTAGGATGGTATCTCCAGTTTCCTACTGTTACTGTAACACAGATGCCCCAAGCAGAGGTCTTTAGAGAAGAGAAATTTCTTCTCTCCTAGTTCTGGAAGCCGAAGGTCCAAAGCAAAGTTTTAGCATGTTAGTTCCTTCCTTGTTGGTAGCTGAACCTCTGTGGTTTGCGGGGACCCCGCGGGGCAGCTGTCTTCCTCAGCTTGCGCGTGTTTCCATGTATAATGTACTCTTTTTATAACTCCATTCTGATTAGATTAGGACACATCCTACACTCGTATGCCCCCATTGACCTAACATTGCATTGAGATTGCATGATGGAAGGTCTTTACATTATACTACATGACTTTACAACCACAGGCATGGGGGTTTGGATTTCAGCATATATTTTAGGAGGACATAATTCCACCCATAGCAGGTGGATTGCCTGGCAGGATGAATGATGGATCAGAAGCAGCTGGAGTTCCACTCTAATCCTGCCTCTGCCTCTAACTTGACCTTCGTTTTTCCTCACTTGCCAAACTTATTCTAGCTTGCCTCACTTTTGTTTTGTTTTTAAAGAAGAGGGGACAAGCCATGGAAAAATGAAGTAAACCTTTGAAAAGTATGATATGAAACTGGGGGAATGAGTTTGTGCCTGGTGGGTGGTGTTGGCAATTAAACATTTGGTTCAACATTCCAAAAATATATTTTGTGCCTCATCACCTGTCCAAGTGGGCATTAGTGATTTGTGGAAGTATCTGTAAGACCGAGCATGATGTTGGTTGTCCCACGGAAACATGACCAATGGCTTCTCACTTTGAATTCTTCCATGAGAAAGAAAGACCTTCACTGACAATAGACCTAGACCTTAATCAGAGACTCCACACTGAGGGCAAGAAAAGTGATTGCCCTTGGCCGCACTCAAGGATGAGAAGAAGGCAAGGACACCTTGGGGAGAGTCGGGACAGGATGAGGTATGGAGGACAACGACACGGTGACATTAATTAAGCATTTGCTGTGAAACCGGCACATGATGCATCAGCACAGAGCCCACCTCCATCGGTTTTCGGCCACTGGTTTTGGAAGTAGATCACCAATATTTCCTTTAGGGGAGCCTCGGGGAACCAGGCCTCTAGCCTTTCCATTTATAGCCAAGCGTGGTTTTTGTTTCAACAAATGTGCCACCTGGGCATTCATTGAGAATTAACCACTTGTTAGGCTCTGGCTCGAGGTTTCAAATACATCATCTCCTCTGATTCCCATGATAGCGCCAAGAGCTAGGGTTTAAGACAGCTAGGTGCCTTTGTTATTTTTCCTTTACAAAGGTGAGCAACTGTGAAGTTTTGGGGAGACGTGAAGTAAGCCGTCTCCATTCATCCAGCCAGTAATTGTCAGAGGCAGGATTTGAACCCTGGGAGTGCATTCATTTATTGAACTTCTAACTTTCAAACACCTGTTCTATGCCAAGATCCCTTTCTAAGGGCTACCGCTACAGAAGTGAATGAGGCCAGACTCCTGCTTTTATGAACAGTGGCTATAGATGAGAGGAGACCAATAACAAGTCAACAAATCAATAAACAATTTCAGATGCTAATAAGTGCTATGCAGGGAAATAAGCAGTATGTTGGGTGAGTGGTGGAGGTAAAGGGAAAGCTACATTACACAGGGCTGGCCAGAAAGGCCCTGAGGTGACTTCCAACTGAGCCTGGCATGATGGGTCAAGTCAGCCACGCAAAGATCTCGTGAGGTGTGGAAGGTCCGCAGAGGCGGAGTCTGGTGTTCCGAAGAACCCGTCTTGTTCTAGGAATGAGAGAAGGCCTCTGTGACAGGATGCCAAGCGGAAAGGGGGACGATGTCTCCATCAGGCCGAAAGCGGTGACTCGGGACCTTGTCCAAATGCAGACAGCAGACCTCAGAGGGTTTTCAGCAAGGAGATGTTATGATCTCCAACCTCTGTGGGTAACGTCCTGCAAGAATCCATAGGTAATACATTAACCTGCTTGTTGCTAGCCAGAGGGTGGAGGTTCAAGTTCACAGCCAAGCACCTTAGAAGAAAGGTCTGGTGATCTACTTCCAAAAGGAACCAGTGGTTGAAACCCCCCTGGAGCACAGCTCTACCCTCTGATACACTGGAGTCCCATAAGACAGTAGACTCAAAGGCTACTGGCTGGTTTTATGTTTCAGTTGCCCACTAAGAGCAAGTGGACAGGGCACACTTGCTTAGATAGCCCCCAGGACAGCTTAGACAAATGACTCAAAGCTAGGGTCAGTGTCTCGGATTAAACAAAGCCTACACTTCCCACCGAAAACAAGACTGAAACGGGCAGTGAGCGGTCATCTGATACAACTTTGGACGTTAGGTCTGACTGCAACGTGTGAGGACTATTGATTCTTTTTGTCAGGCAGGAAGGGGACAGCCTTGTAGTTTCTCAGGATCTCCACTCACGGTGTAGAAAGAAGCGCTCTCTGTGTTGACCATGCTGGAGAACTTTTTGTTATAGGAGCTGTTCTTAAAATTTTCATCCAAAAAAGTGGGACATTTATAAGCGTGGGTGGTATTCTATACAACCTGTCCCAGGTACTCGTGTGTGTGTTTAATCTTTGTGTTTGAAGAAATGTTCTTGAGAATGCCACCAACATTTTAACACACGGGGCTTGACTTTTCTGTTGAGAGGACATTGTATGGACGATGCCAGAATTTATTGTAAACTCAGCAGCTTGATTTATTTTATTACATTTCTTTATAAACAACAAGCATGAGCAGCCCATTAAAATCGGTCGTGTCACATATAAGATAGAATGCATTGCCTGTTTAGGTTAAGAATTAATAATGACAAGAAGTGTTTTATTTGTTTGACCAAAGCATTAAGAGTAAATGGCCCGCTTAAAAAAATTATTTATTTGGGGCCCCTATAGCTCTTATCATAATCCATACATCCATCCATTATGTTTAGCGCATTTTTACATATGTTGCCATCATTTTCAAAACATGAGGCATTGGTAGCAGCTCCTCATTTTTCCCTCCCTCCCCTATGAATCCTTGAAAATTTAAAAATTATTATTTTTCATGTCTTACACTGTCCGATGTCTCCCTTCATCCACTTTTCTGTTGTCTGTCCCCCTTAGGGGGTTATATGTAGATCCCTGTGATTGGTTCTTCCTTTCTCCCCCCACTTTCCTCTTGCCCTCCTAGTATCGCTGCCCTCGGTTTTATTTGGCAAGCCCGGTTTGAGTAACTAGAGAGGCATGACTACTGCATTGTATTTGGTATGTGTGTGTCTTTGTGACTGGTTGTTCAGATATGGGTTCCTAAACAGAGCTAGGGCCTAAAGATACAGATTCATGTATATAAAACAACCCAGCAGGCCTTTAACGGAGGACCGTGATAAGGTGGGTCCCAGAGAGTGAGAGGCGAATTGTGAGAGAATTTCAGTTAAGCTATACAAAGGTAATTGAGCAAGATTTGGGCAAACCCATCACTCGGGTCGTTCTCAGGTATACTATTTTGTTCTCAGAGGAGGCATAAATCTCCTACATTGACCTAACCTGCTTTAAAGCGTGAGACTAGAGCTGTCTGTTCCTCTATGTGGAAGTGAGGGTGAGGCTGCCAGCAGCAGGAGGTAGGCTGTTTGATACCAAGCCATGCCCCTGCGCTGCTTATCTGTCACTTGCCATCGAGTTGACTCTGACTCCTGGCACTCTCAGGTGTGTCAAAGGACACTGTGTCCGTAGAGTTCCCAGTGGCTGCTGTTTTCGAAATATGAAGCGGCTTCCAGAATTTGGTGGAAAATGGAATTGGAAGATAGTGGGATCTTTCCATGAATTTTTTGAAGCCCCTCCTAGCTGGCCGGGAGCCCTGGTGGCATGCAGTGGCTTACACATTTGGCTACTACCTGCAAGGTCAGCAGTTCAAATCCACTAACTGCTCCTCAGGAGAAAGATGAGGTTTTCTACTCTGATAAAAAGTTACTGTCTTCGAAACCCACGGGAGCAGTTCTTTGTCCTACAGGGTTGCTGTGAGTCAGTATCGACTCGATGGCTATGCGTTTCGTTTCTTAACTCTCTCCCCAGGCCTTTCTTCTAAGCCCCTTCCAGTGGATGTGAACCTCTGACCTTTCAGTTAGCAGTTGAGTGCTAAACCATTGGCAGCACGCCTCCATATCTAAGGTTGCTCAATGAAAGGGCACTGAGTAGCCTTAAGCTCAGCACACTGTGATTTGGGGGGCAGAGGGGAGGGGGTATATTTTTTGGGGGGGCTTCTGGCATTTTAGCCAAACGGTCAGAGCTCAAGAAGCCTAGGCTGTTGGAAAGGATTACTAGAGGCAACCGTCAAGCTCATTGCTGTTAGACTCTTTCTTGAGTTACTGGGCTCTATGCAAATGGCTGAAGCTGTTGGTTCTGTCACTGCAAGTCATTTGACACACATGGCATGGCGTTGAGGCTGCATACTCTTCCCCCCACCAGCTTCCAGGCCTGAAGCCGCCCCCACAGTGAGCAGACAGGCCCCTGGGAGCGCTGCCGACAGACCGCTGTTCCTCCAGAGATGACCCACGTGGACAGTTTGAGTCTCCCACTGACGATTGGTTTCTTTCTTTTTTCTTCTAGATGCTGAAGAGTACCAGCCTCCGATATGGAAATCATACTGTGAGTATCTGAAATAAAAATCCAGCCAGTCTGCCTCTCTGAGCTGCTCTGGATGGGGGTGGAGTGAGCGCCAGCAGCCCCACATGGACATTCTGGAACACCTGGACCCCTTTTCTTCCACTGAGGAGAGAGAGGAGACAGAGAGACCTACAGCAGCACCTCTTCCCTACCTAGCAGCCACCCTAGAGCACAGATGCAACTGCCCCAGGGACGCCCCAGGGACGTCATCATGAAGGAGGCGAAAGCCACATCTTTCGCCCTCAGCACAGCTATAGGCACAGCACCCCCATATATTTTCCTTCCCTGCCCAGGACCCCCAAACCTAGTGGTCCATTTCAGAAATGCTTCGAAAAGGGATTTTCTGACTTCAGGGTCCCCCCCCACCACACACACACACACACATCCACAGGTGGTCATCACGGGTGAATGTATTGATCTCCCCAAGCTGTGTTGCCGGCTGATCGCCCTCAAGCTCGCATATCATAGGCTATCTATCACAAGAAATGAACAGACACAAAGACCAGCGCCTGCTGACTCAGGGCACCCTTAGAAACAGAGACCCCATCTGGCAGTCAGTCAGCAACTCAGGCAAGTCTTTGCCCAGCTCCTTGCCCCCCCCCACCCCACCCTGCGCCCAACCAAGCCATTCTCCGGGACAGAGGGAAGCAGTGCAGTCTGATGGGGACCCATGATGCTGCGAGCCAGAGGACACCAGAGCCTTTCCAGGCTCAGCTTGTAGGCAGCAGTAGTAAGAACACCTCTTGGCCATCATTGAAGGCTCTGGACCGTGACTGCCCACTGAGGACCTGTCGTGTGCTGGTCACAGCCCTGAGGGACTAAACTCTCAGTCCAGCCTCAAGTGACACGGACCCACTGCCTTCAAACTCGGACACACAGCTACCCTCCAGGACAGCGGTTCTCAGTCTGTGGGGTGTGACCCTTTGGGGGTAGAGCGACCCTTTCACAGGGGTCCCCCGATTCTTAACAGTAGCAAAATGACGGTGATGAAGTAGCAAGGAAAATGATTTGATGGTTGGGGATCACCACAACATGAGGAACTGCATGAAAGGGTCCTGGCGGACAGGGTAGAACTGCCCCTGTGGGTTCACAAGGCCGAAAAATCTTTATGGGAGCAAACTGCCTCATCTTTCTCCCAAGGAGCAGTTAGTGGTTTCAAACTGCTGACCTTGTGTGTGGTGAGCAGCCCAATGCATCATCTGCCATACCACTGGGGCTCCTCTTGTCCCCAGTGACAGGGAGGGTGACCGTCCACTTCTCACAGACCATGGCTCGGGGTTAAGGACCTGAGCCGGCCTTTCGTACTAGCGGTGGGACACATGAGGAGTGGGCGCAGAATCACACCAACGTCTCCAGCTCGCCAGACTTCCTCCTGTCGAAATGTTGTCAATGAACAAATACGGTCAACGGACACAGACCTACTATGTGTGTGTTTCGATGATGGAGTCCCAGGGGGCACCAGTGATTAAGGGCTGGATTTCGTAGCCGTCGGTCGCAGTTGGAATCCACCGGCCTGGCAGTCTGCTTCTGAAGGGTCACGGCAGTGAATGCCCCTTGAAGCCGTTCTGCTCAGTCCTTACTACGAACACACAAGATCCATTCGCACTAAAGACTCTCATCGTACAAACACAGAAAGCCCAAAGTGAAAATCTCCCCAAGCAAGTCCCCAGCCCGTACTCTGCCGCTCCGTCCCTGCCGCCTGAGCCCTGTCCGTTTGAGAGGCATAGCCTCCCAATTATTTACAACCCCACGGCGGACAGTTAATGGCTTTTGTTTGCCTGTCTGTCTGTCTGATTTTCTAAAAACGGGCTTATACTGTACTGAGTGTCCTTGAGAGGTCAGTGAGACTTTGCTGTCTGTCTTTCCATGTCAGCGCCGTTAGAGGCCCCTTTGTTGGGTGCTGTGTGGGTTTGCCCTCCCACCTGTAATAAAGGGCTTGGGCACAGTCCCTTGGGTCCCTTCTAGTCTCGTGTTCAGCATTCTGAGCTTCTGTTCTAAAAGCGAATGCTAATGACTTCGTAATTGGATGCTTTTGTTTGTTTGTTTCCTAATGGAGCGTGAAGGAGCTCTGACGGTAAATCAACAAAATATCTGTTGGGAGAGATACCAGCGGAGTTATTTGTGTTCCGTGACTGGCTACCTTGCACACCACGTGTGTACACAGCCTTGCATGCATCAACTACCCGATAAACAATTGTTGACTGAATGCCTTTGCAGGTAGTTTTAGGGGAAGTACGAGGATGAGATGGGCTCAAAGTTATGTCACCATTTTCTAAGAGACCTCGGGCCACCTACTATAACCTCTTAAAGGTCTTTCTTGGTCCTAGAGAAGATGGGGAGGTGTTACGAATTACATGACCACGGTATCACTTTTATCCTGGTGTGCTGGGTTTACGTTTGATTTGGGGATATAACCAAACTGTGTTTTGTTTGCTGCTGCATTTGCCTCCAGAGTCATGAAATGTCATACGTGGAAGGGAGAGTTGGGGCCATTTAATAATTAAAACCCCCAAACCCCAAACCACTGCCACAGAGTGGATGTTGACTGCTAGTGAGCCCCTGTGGGTTTCTGAGATTAGAACTTGTTTACCGGAGTAGAGAGCGCAGTCTTTCTCCAGAGGAGCTGCTGGTGGTTTCAAACTGCCGAATATGTGGATTTCAACCCAACGTATAACCACTACACCACCACGGCTCCCATTCAATACATACATACCGCACATATGAATTGTCGGCGTCTATTTTCCCCAATTAATGATCCTCCAGGATCTGTGCGAGGCCCTCTGCTGACGTGGGGCTCCAGAAGTGCGCATACCATCAGTGCCATCCCTGAGCTCACCAAGCACATTGGTCAAAGCCTTCAAGAACAAGACTGAGAAAGACCTCACTCCTGGGTGTTCCTCCAAGAATTACAAGCCCGTGAATTGGGGGTTGGGCTAAGTTTAAACTAACTAAATATTATAACCAAGCTCACGATCCTCAGTCTTATTCCCAGATATCAGTCATCCATTCACTCTTTCAACAAACATACATTGAATGCCATCTGCATGCCTAAGGACCACATGAATAAGAGGTGCTCCATCCTTTCTTGCAACATGAAGTCTAGTGAGCGAGACAGATTGTCAACAGGCTAAATGAAAACGAAAGCAGATGCTGGTAGCAAGGTCCTACTGCTCCTGCTGGGATGAGAGAGCGGTTTGCAAAAGAAGTGGAAACTATGTGTGGGCTTGAAAGGGGGATGCAAGGAGGAACCGGAGGCCAGCAGTGACAAATTCGAAACCGTAGCATTGCCCTGATCTGGCTGTCAAGAAAAACTGTCAAAATAAGAAATGTGCTTTTATGACCTGTTGGCAAACCCCGTCCTGAACTCTGGGATCACCAAACCCATCTCTTGGAAAAGCTCACAAACAATGCGTGAAGGGATTCATGTTAGAGACTTAGGCCACATGCATTCGCGTAGTTTGCAGCCCTTGTTTTTCATTGCACATTTCCCCCGACAGCCCTCAATCGAGCCTGGCTACTGGGACCCGGCAGGAGTCGTTGTACCCAGTTCACAGGTCTGGGAAATGTGGAGTATTTGTGGGACGGGGAGGGCTGCGGGGGAAGTAACCACAAATATCTGACTTAGAAACGTTCAAGACTCAACTTAGAAATCCTTTCTCTCGTTCTGTGGTACGAATGGTCTGGTCATTCGAGGCTGTTTGTTTTCTGTACCGCACAACACATTGTCGTGGGCCTCGACCGCTCTTGTGATTCTCAAGCTGTTGGAATAGAGCACCTTGTCTGTTGTGTTCACCCGCCTCCAAACCTGAGGTCTTGCCCGGCATCGATCCCTCCTGATGAAGCCGGCGAAGCGTGTTCAGTTGTGAGCTGCAAGGTCTGCATTGGGCAGTTTTCAGAAGGAGGTTTCTAGGCATTTCCTCCCAGTCTGTCTTCGTATGGAGGCTCTGCGGGAGCCTACCCACCATTGTGGCCCGTTTGAAATACCACCGCCATAGCAGCCGGCATCGCAGCAACCCTCAGGCCCCCGTGGAACAGCAAACTGAGAGAGAGGTGGCGGATGTAAAATACAGTTTCTATTCATCCGTGTGTTCATCCAGCGGACACCTGTGAGGCTCCGTGTTAAGGCAGACTCGGTGCTCTTGAGTTCTGGGAGCACAACGACAGATAAGGTCTCGACTCCAGGCATTAGGATGTCACGTGGTGTGTTTTCATTCCCTGCCCTCTGCTCCCTCTCGCCTCTTAGAAGCTAGCGCTCCCACTTGCTGAGCTGCGCCCACAGAATACTCTTCTCCCAAAGTGGTGTGCATCTGCAATAAACCCGTAATGCTCCGGCCCAAACCCAGAAACATGGACGAAGGCGCTGGGAGAGCTAGTTTCAAGCTGACTTAAAAAGCAACAGCAAAAGGTGAAGCCTCCATGTTCTAAGCTTGGAGCCAGAGCGCATATGTGCTGGATACCCCTAAGTGGATGAGTTCAGAGACCAAGCGCCATGGGTATACTCTGAAAGATTTCTTTTCTAAGAGGCCAAGTGCCAATTAGACAGTGGATATTGCTGCTGACAACTCTCCCAGGAGCCTCTCCCTGCAGTAGGTCAAGCAGCCAGAGCTCATGCCTGTTTTTCTAAAGAAGAGTTTAGGATCTCAGATCCCTGATCTGCAGACTACCTGCGTTAGCATCACCTGGAGAGACGATTCATAGTAATGAATCCTGCTCCCTACTCCCTACTCCGTGGAGCCCTGGTGGTGTAGTGTCTACGTGTTGGGCTGATACGTGCAAGGTCAGCAGTTTGAAACCACCCAGCCACTCTTCCAGAAAAAGACGAACCTTTCTACGCCTGTAATGAGTTGGCCCATATAGAGTTGGAAAGTACCATGGACTAATGAAAGAACAAACAAATCTATCTCAGAAGATGTATAGCCAGAAGGCCCCTGAGAGGCAAGGGTGGCCAGATGTTCATCTCACGTCCTTTGGACAAGTTATCA